CCATAATATTATTTGTTTGAATTTGGCTACGTATGCTGTATGAACGTATTCATTATTGTTTGTAAATCGTGGTTTACATGATAACCCATAATATTATTTGTTTGAATTTGGCTACGTATGCTGTATGAATGTATTCATTATTGTTTGTAAATCATGGTTTACATGATAACCCATAATATTATTTGTTTGAATTTGGCTACGTCTGCTGTATGAACTTATTCATTATTGTTTGTAAATCATGGTTTATGACTTATTCAACAAAATCAGATTTAATTTAGCTATAAAGTATTACCATTTTAAATGTTAATAATAGTAGTAAGTGTGCCATAGTACTTTCACCCTCATTACTTATTTGAGTAATTCTGGGTTCTAGTTTTTTGAGTTGCAAGCAACAGCCCCACAGTATGTTAGATTCTTTCTTACCAATTTATCACTGTTTTGCAATAAACTTGCACCAGTCTAAAGTTAGTAATGGTAATTAGTAACAGCATAGTAAAGTGAACACAGAAGTAAAACACACTACATTTGTTTGTAATAAAGCTATAGGCAGGACACTTTTGTGTCATTGCTTGCCTCTAATAGAATTACTAAGAAAGGACTAAAAAACTGAGATGGCTTTAAAGTTTAAAAAGCATTATCTGTAAGAAATATTAAAAGCAGTGCTCTAAATCCTAATCTGGCATAAAAGCACAGCACAGGTTACCATAATTGATGGTGTGACATCTTGCTTTATAAGCAGCACATTGTGAAATATAAGATGTTAAAATCAAGTATTAACTGTGCTTGGCTTAAATTTTACATTTGTTAAATTCTATTAAGTATGCTAAATTCTAACAACTTGTCTTTCCTTATGCTTTGATCTTGAAGTGGATGCCAGCACATATCTCAGGGAAGATTAATCAATACCTGCCCTGCTGCTTTCATTTTGGCCCCACAGTCAATACTTCAGGCAGCTTATGATTACCGAGGTATATCCCTGTGCGCCAAATTGTGAGCACCTTTCTCAAAGCAGTGCTGCTAGCTGAAAATCCTTATAAGAATAGAACATTTTATTTCAATTTAACACTGATGGACTTGGGACTGAAAGCTACTCTGAACAAGGTTTTCAAGAAAATCAAGGTTTTGAATATGGTGAATGCATTTCTTCTCTCCGCAGCTGAATGGATATGGCATTTCTTCATCTTGGAAGGCTGTTGTGAAGAGCTTCTCCTCTTGCTTTGCTTGGGATGCCAGCAAGTACTGTGGCACCAATTACTGATAAAACTCAGTAATCATCCATTTCTTATGGAAGTAACATGCTTGGCACATAAATCTTCACTTAATTAAAAGTGCTGGAGTTATGTGAGTATGAATTCACATACGAGGTTCTATCCTGTGAGAAAGCTCAAACAACATCTGCTGGTTATCAATGATATGCAAATGATGGACATAGGATTTCAGCTCCTCGTGCTCTTTTGAGGGTATTTCATTTCCTATAGTTTTCAGACGAGAAAAACAAGAAATCAGTTACCCTGCAACATCTTTTCTGAAGGCATATCTCAAAATTTAATCAATAATTTATTTTAATGAAACTCCTGAACTTCACATTTTTTATTTCTAGAAAATAATGGACATTTTCTAATGACTTCTAACTTCACAGTGGCCTGTGAATACTGGCTTTGCATGACTACATTAATGAAGAATATGAAGTAGATACGTCATTCCATTATATGTGTAAACTGTACAGTCTTAAACAAGTTTTTCATCATGAACTGAGATCAAACTGCATTACAAAAAAATTTGTAAAGATTACACTGAAAAACCTGTTCTCCCAATCATCTAGTACATGAACCAAAATATATTTATTTTGGTTCATGTACTAGATAAAACACTCCAGACAATGAAACTAATTTTGTGCAAATCAAAAATACTAACAACTATTTATATGAATATATAGGATTTCATTTCCTGGCATTTTTCATTCCATGACTTGCATGTATTCTGTGTTTGTGTGTGTTGATACGTAACGAGGGTGGAAAACCTGTGTTCCTCCAGATATTACTGAATTCAATGCCCACCAGCCATGCTGCTGCTGGGAGCATGCTAATATTGGCTGGTAAAGGATACTGGGAGTTGATGTTTAACATCTGAAGGGTCCCCCAGAAAACTCCAAAACGAGTTACTAATTTATAATATTTAATGTGATAGAAAGAATTATTAATACATAACTAGAGATAATCATATTAAGTATATTTCATTTTAATGTAATTGAAATAAAACCAAAACTGAACTCATCTACTAATTGTAAGAGTATAGCCACCAGCATATACTCTTAAAACTGAACTCATTTACTAATTTTAAGAGTATAGCCACCAGCATATCAATCAAAAGCCAAGGGTAGCCCTTAGGGCTGAATGAATTTTGCATCCTTGTTCTATATGTAAGAACATAGACACTGAGAAGGTAGGCTCTGATTCACAAAAGTTTAAGCTACAAAGTGGGGGGGAACCTCTCAAAATGACATTCGCTTACCAAACTGGTTGCGCCTGCAATGCCTCAATGATCGGACTGTGTCTGCAATCATGTGCTGTGAAGATAAAATACACAGATTAACACCGAGCCAGTAAACACTAATATTGGGACTGACCAGCATGTATAAGCTCCAAATTATGAGGGCAGGAGGTCTCTACCATAAAATGGAAATTTAGATTGTATTTGCTCCAGAAGTCCCTATATAGATGATTTCAAACATTTAACTCATGGTTGCACTGACACATTTTATACAGGAGCTATAGGAAGCCATTTGAATTCTGCCTTTATCATATTTGATATGACATTTTATCATATTTGTAGAAAGAGGTGACAGAGCAGGAATCTGAAGTTTGTTTTTTTCCAAAAACAGTCCAACCTCCATTCCTTTCGGGAGCAGAATGGCAATTCAGGCAAATAGAAGAGATTTTAGCCAGCAAAAAGTACGCAGTATGGCATCAGAAACTGAAGAAGTCATAAAGTCATTCTTTCCAATATATTTAGGAACTGCAGGTCTTGGACTTAATAGTTTTTTTAAAGGAAGATTTTTATCCTATGCCATTCTTTTCCTAGGTAAAATAGGTCACAGGGATCTACATGTATTAAAGAGAATAGAAGTACACTTATATGATCAGATGTCAGGCTGATTTGAACTGAAAAATCTCCATTAATATTCACTGAGTTATTCCTGCAGAAAATAATGTATTTTTCTACAATTATTATTTAATTATAGTTGCAATCCTTTAATCAATATAGGCCAAATAATTTAATAGTGTATAGTAACGAACTAACCTGACTACAAATTAGCCTTAAGTATATAGAAACGTACAGAATAATAAAAAGCACAAAATGGTTAACTTCCTAAAAATACAACTACCTTAGGAAAATAGAATGTTTTCCTACCTTAATGTAAATTAACACAACATAGTTATAAGAACTCTATGGAAAGAAACAGTTGATAATTCTGTGGACAATGTTAAATTTCCCCAAATTATGTAAATACTTTTACTTCTTCAAACAACTGCCTTCTATTTATCTGATAATCCCTTTTATAAACATTTTCTCCAACCAATAAAAATAAAGTAATCACATTTGATATAACCTGTGCCTGAGCATTGCAATATACCCTGCTGTTTTTGTTCTACTTTAGCTTGTTTTTTTAAAAAATTAAAAAGAGTCATGAAGAAGTGCTTTTGATATGTGATTCAGTATATTATGCTATGGATCTTGTGCCCCTTCTGAAAATGCTTATAAAAGTAAACTTGAAGCCTTCCTTGGCATCTTCCAAAGTTGCTTCAAGTTCTGTTTATTACTGAAACTAATCACAATTACTTTCTCAATTTCTTTTGTTATCATTTTAATGAACTTCCTTTCTTAAAAAATATGAATATTTCTGCAAGGGACGGAACAAACCCACACGTAATCCACAATCACATAAACAACAGAGAACTAAAACGAATGGCAGTGACCAGGTATGTTCTTTTGCATAATAAAGGAAGTATATAATTAAGAATACATGGTGACCAATTAACAAAGTGCAAAATATTTAGAACAGTAGATATTAGCAAAGTCTGACTATTGGGTTAATTATTTTTATAGTGGGAATACTCAGTGGAAAGCTGAAGCAAAGAGAATTAAATCTAGTTTTAATATGAAGAAGAAATAATATAAGAGTAAGAAAGAAAGGAGGATGAACAATAATACAGAAATGGAAGGAAGTCTTTTCATGATGTTGACTTTAGAGTGGGAAATGATACATACCAGCTTTTCAAAATTTACAAGGTTATCCAGAAATGTTTTGTTTCCTTCATGTATAAATGTCACATCTAAAAAACACAAATATATTTTTCAACTTAACTTTCCATTTTTCACATAATAGTAATAAAGCACATTGGTGATCATTGTTACATTTTCTTGTACAAGTAATCATTCAGAAAATTTAACTCTGATACAAATGTAAAAAAAAAAAACTGAAGAAAGGGAGTGAAAAAAACCAAACTGTACAAATTCTGGAGTTCTAAGTGAAATATTATGTGTATCATCATATACACATTAGGCAGTTTTCTGGGAACATCCCTAATGTGCATCAGTCCCTGGTTCCTGTCCACATTTGATTACTCTTCTCCTGTAACCTGCTGATTTGGCAGCACCAAATCTTGTATTTCCTGTCATCAGTGGAATCACCACAACCACCTTATTTAATCAAACCTCCTGATACTCCTTCCTTTTTTATGGACAAATCCTTACTACCATACTGCCCCTGCCAATTAAAACTGGTGGACCTTCGGCATAACTTTCAGATTTTATTTCCATACCAAAAGCTCAGCACCATTAGGGAGGTAACTGATTGCCTGGTATCCCAAAGAAACACCTTCTTCTCTAATCTTTTAAGCTAAAGATCCCAGCACCCACCTCTCATATGGGCTCAGTAGTTTGTCTCTTTGGGGCGATTGAGAGGTGAATGCAGAATGGCAGGAAGGAATTTACAGTGGATCTTGTTGGTTTTCTCAAGGCAACAGGGAGAAGGCTCAACAAAACTCTTATCTCAAGTTAGGAAGATTTAAACAGTAGAAATCCCACCTAGCCCTCCAAAACATAAATTAGACTAATACAGCATGTAGTGGATTTGTGGCAATATATATATATATACACACACACACACACACACACACACACACACACACACACACACACACAC